TTTTTATGACTTTTTATTTGGAGTATAAAGATATGTTAATAGCTTAGACAACATGCCATGGTCACCTTGCATGTGCATGCACGTGCGTTTGCGTGCAATGCGTTAAATGACAAAAAGTTGATACCATTGTAGCTTTTAAAATTCTTTTATGAAATCCTGTGATAACTGAATATATTAAAAAAAGTTTTAAAAGAAATTGGCACTAAAAGGGACTTGGGAAGCGTTTGGGGAACATCTGTAACGGTCCCCGTTACAATTAGAACTAGTTTATTATATATTTAAAACGTCATTGATGAAAAAAAAATTTACATTCAGAAGAAAGATATCTTAAGGAATTTAACGCGGAATAATATAAACAAAAAAGTAAAGTTTTATAGTTTCTCATTTAAAGGAAGTTTAGGTTTAAGTCATTGTGTTTCCGTTTGAACATCTTCTGCATATTCATATTCCTAAGTTCAGAATCCTCATTTGACGGAATATAATTAAGCGCATGATACAATTATGGTACCATTCCTTTCATCAGAGGAATATTTATCTGCTTCCCATAACTCTGTATTATCTTTATCAGAACACAATTGATATACATCTGATGATACGAAAAAACCCCAATCCTTTCATGTACATTCTTTTATATATTTTTTCAATTAAGGCCGACACATCAGTATGGTCAATTGTTGTTTTTGGTCTGCAATCACATTTATATAGATTCCATTGTGAAGGACATGTTACGATTAAACAACACAGAAACTTATAGTCCTAATATGCAGAGTGACAAAAAATGGAGATTAAAACATAATAGATATTTTAATCTTCCAGTCTGTCAGCATTATCACCACGTATCACTCTCTGAACCAAGTCTTTAAAGGTAAGAAATAGAAAATACACTAGATGAGATCTCGTTGCGAGCAACGAGTAGGTCTTCCGTTTAATTTCTCGATACGATGACATATGATTTTGACTGAGATATTTGTAAAATGAGAATGGCATCAAGTTTTACTTGACTGAATTTAATTCTTCTGATTTATATCACAATATCCTGAGCATCAAAGATATAACATTCTGTTCTGACCCCTTGTGACCCCTAATTACGTAACGTATGATCAAAATTTCATACTAATTTGTTGATGAATACTTTTGCTTCATTTATGTATTAAAAATATTGATCATTAGTGAGTTAAAGATGAAAGACTTTTGGCCCCTCTGAGCCTTAATGGGGCCGTTTTACAAAAATTCAAAGTATGCATATTGTTTAGAACATTATTCTGACCATCTTATATTCAATATTGCTCATCAAAATATTCCCCCGTTTTGAGATATAAAGCGTCAAAGATTTGACATTCTGGCCCCTAGTAACCCCTAATTACGTAACATATGATAAAAATTTTATGATATATTGTTGCAAATCGTTAAGATGAATACTTTTGCTTCAGTAGTGTATAACAAAATATTGATCATTAGAGAGTTATAGATAAAAGACTTTTGGCCCCTCTGAGCCCCTAATTTGAGGGGTCAGCCCCTTTTTCTTGATATTAGCTGAAAGTTCTTAACATTTTGCACATGTTTCCTTCTATATGTTTTAGCAAATTATAAACAGGTATGAAGATATGAAACAAAATGTGTCAAATTTTGTGAGATGTTTCTGAGACATTTTTTCGGGCCTTACCGTGCTCCGGCGTCTTTTGCGCTAGAAAGATTTAGGCACCCAATTGCAACTCAGATAACCTTCCTGTATACTCACTAAAAATCTTGGGTCAATATCTTAAGTCGTTTTGGAGGAGTTTCCTGGACAAGCTGACCCTCTGAAAATCAGAAAATCGTCCATGTCTCACGACCGGAAGTGACTTCATCAAAAAGGGAAAAAACCTACCAAGATCAATTGAATATCTTTTACGTCTGAAAGATTGATATAAATCGGATGAGCCATCTCTGAGAAATCGCTTGCACAAAATCGGTTGGAAGAAAAATAATAATATGGAAAAAGAAACCGAACGAAAACAATAAGGTCTTCCGTTGGAAACGGAAGACCTTAATAAGAAACAGAGTAAAAACAATATGTTCCCCAACTTCGTTTGGGGAACATAACAAGTAAAACGGATGCAAAGCATAAAATCGGCCGCAAACAAAAGAGCCGTAGCGCATTTAACAGTCAATTTCGCCTACTCTAATAATGATTTTTTAAATACATTGTTTAACCAAAATTTTGTCATACAATGTTAGTTTATACTTGCCTTAAAGCGAATAACACAAAAATAATATTTAAATTTTAATAGTTCCCTCATATGAGATGGCCACATCAAACAATATAGGCCACAAGTGTGACATGCAGATCATATCCGTGCAATCCAAGGTTAAACTTTTTATTTACGAACAAAGCAAATTCAAACTAGCAGAAATCTTCAGAATATTTTATTTAAATTCTAAGAAGGGTTTTTTAAGCCTACAGAAAAGGTTATCGTTTGTTTGTTAGTATGTTGCTTAGCGTCCCTCTCGAGAATTTTTCACTCAATTTGAGATGCCACCACGTGCCGGTGCTGAGCTGCACATTTTGTCCTTCACACCAGTGCTTCTGTTAACGCATATTTCTGCGTATTTTACGCATAAAAAACTTATGACACATGTGACAACAAAGCGAAGATTAAACTTTTTAAAATGCAAATTAAATAATTTATAACCCAAAGTAGGGTCTTCTCACAAGAAATGCCATTGTGAAATATGAAAGCCCTAACACCACCTGTTCAAAAGTTATGGCCACGAATAAGTTCTTGAAATGTAGATAAAACTCCAAGATCAAAGGGTCAAAGTTGTTGGTTTATGAAGAATTATTGTATGAAGAAGGATAGTCGGTTTTCATTTTGCCCCTCAATAGCTTAATGCGAGTTTTAAAATTCATATATTAATCCACATATAATCAATTCTGACAACGTGTAAACTACGTGTAAATGATTCCTTTTTCATATCTCAGACATCGCCAGGCTAAATGTTCCATAGAATCCATAATATTTATGAAATTATGCCGCTATTTATAGAGATTGAGTCAGAATAGAATTTTTTTTTCAAACCCTTCACAATTTTATCAACAGACAACAGCGTGTATTTATCTAAAACTTCAAGCTCCAGTAAACTTGAATTAAAGTGTGATGTTTTTGTTCTAAAAAAAATCACGAGCGTCAAGGACACAATGATATGAACCTACGCTAACTGCATTACGAAGATCGTGAATAATTCCAACGATACGAGATTCCTAACGGCATAAAATCATAGCATTCGAAGGAGGATTAAACAAACCATATAGTAAAAATATTTTTCTCTTAATTTTGATTAAGCAGAAACTAGTATCTCGGAAACTGAGAGATGAATTCCAGAGTTGGACCAGCATGTTTGATCATCATTCAATGTATTCTTTCGATAATGGCATCTGGACAGTTACAGCTGACGACAGAATTGGGGAAGAATGTGTCAGAAACTACTTCCTCAAAAGAAATATTATTAAAGGAAGCCATCGACCAACTTTATAAAGAAACTATGATAAGGCTTGAAATTGAGAAAAAGTTACGGACTTTGACGGAAGAAGTTTCAAATCTTAAAGCAGGATATGAGAAAGTATGTGCAGCAATACAAACAGATAAAGAAAATGGATCGCAAGGTAAGAAAATTATTATTATAAAAAATTGGGGGTTTTTTGAAGGAGCATAAAAAATTTTTATTATTGAGAGCTATCACTGGCGGATTTAAGCGGGGGGGGGGGGGGGGGGCGTGGGGGACGCACGCCCCCCCCCAAAAATTTTCAAAGTATGATGTGACTAATATTTATAATGCCACATTTTGGTACAAAACTAACCAAACCACTGTTATTCTGCCTGGTTTTACTCTTATAATACACAAAAATCCATGAGCTTCCGGGGGCTGCGCCTCCTGGGCCCCCAACATTCAAAGTATGATATGACTAGTATGAAACACGTCGTACTTTGGTAATCACTAACCAATACCACTATCAGTAAGTAATTAAATCGTTTATTGTAGTGGCATCTGTTTTATACAATGAGAATTGAGAAATATTCTATACAATCATTATTCAAACATCCGGACCTACAGTGTATATGCCACTTTAAACAAAAATAATTGAAAAATATGCACTATTATTGTGCCTGGTTTTACTCTAAAATACACAAAAACCCAGGAGTTTCCGGGGGCTTCTCCCCCTGGGCCCCCACCAGGGCTTCGCCCTGCCAGACCCCTTGCCTCAACAAAGTTATCCACGCCCCCCCCCCCCTCCCTGACCGACCACAAATCCTGTATCCGCCCCTGGCTATTTACTTTCATTTTTATGGTTTTAATAAGAAAATCTGGAGATACTTTCTAGGTTCCGAATATGCCAATATTCTGGAAATTTATTCATTATGAAATACGTATGTAATGTGTTTTGTGGGTTCGACCACGGATGATGTATAGATAAAGAATTTTCCTTTACGTTACTTGACGTATTTAGCTGATTGGATTAAATATAAGAACAAACACAATCAATAATAATCAACAACACAATGATTTAAACTTATCGTCTGTATAATTATAATTTTCCTTAGTTTGTTATCTCTAAGCCCCTGGTCTGACACTTCTGTTTGAGCACTATAGCTCCCAGACCCTGCAGTTTTAACCACCGGGTTTCCAACACCCGTTTATAATATTTATTTACTCTTTATTAACCCGTAAGGATCTATGTTCCTCAAATGGTCCGTCTGCAGTACTTTGAGACACCGCAAATGAGAAAAAACACAAACACCTTACCAATGAGACGTCCTCTTCTCCTGACGGCTTCTCCACAACTGAACACCGGGACTTGAATGAGCCCGCTTATATACTTCCCCAAGATCTGCTGAGTCAGATCTTGATCTTCTGAATGTATGAAACATTGACTGGACATAGGAGATAACTTTTAAACCCTGATTATATAATTATTAACTTGATCAAAGGAATTTCACTACACGTATAATTCTAATATTGGCAATTTAAAATACTGCGGTTTTTGTTGTATTTTTTAAAAATATTTTAAAGCAAAATTATAAATCATTTTTAATTTGTTTAGGAATGACAATCTCTGCCGTTGGATTTAGTGCACTTCTTTCAAAAGATGCCACACTAGGAGTCAAGCAAATTGTCAAATATGACAATGTAATCACGAATCAAGGAAACGGGTATGACAAGTGGACCGGGATCTTCACAGCGCCTACAGCAGGGCTTTATGTATTTTCATGTACAATAATGGCTTTTGATAGAAGTGCAATACATATAGAAATAGTACAAGATGGACGACTCATATCTACTGTAAACTCCGATATTTCACCTTGGAACCAAGGCTCTGAAACTGTCGTGCTAACTTTAAAAAAAGGAGGTAAAGTTTGGACAAGAGCACAGCATGTGGGAAAAATTCATGGACTTTATAACATATTTTCAGGTTTTCTTACTTCCACTGAAATTTAAAAGGTCTGTATGAATAGTTATTTGTTAATGAAAAAACTGCCTGATTAGCTCGTTTTTTTTTTTACATTGTAGCCTTTCATTACTAGAATACTATTTATACTGTATAAATATATAATTATGTATCGTAATAAAGCATACAAAATTTCCATGATCCTCGTTTCTAGTTATGCAACAGGATATCATATTGTAAATGAGCAAATGAAATTTACCTAAAATAAATAGTAGTATCATTGCTTTATATAGATGTTGAAATAGACGATAAGAGAAAACTAAAACAACTCATCTGTATGACAAACAAGATGGCTTCAAATTTCCATTGTTAACTTTCTTCATTTATGTAATAATATCCCGCTCTTTTGGCTTCACATCTACTTATTCGATTCGATTTTCATACAGAACCTGCATTTTACTGATGATCTATGAATTTTAAACCGAGCCAGATTAGTGACCGATAACATAATATGCATCTTACAGGGATTTAAACAAGCTAATTTAATGTCAACTTTTCTTGAATTCTACGGTTGTTTTACAATAGCCTTATTTGCAAACATAGCATACATGTCATCTGGCGTAATTTGTTTCATACCAATTAATAGACATTTGTTTGTTATTATATATATTGAATTTGACAACGTCATCAATGAATACAAATATACGAACAGTGCAAAAACACAGATTCCCTTTCATTTAAAATATGAGACGCCTAGAATAAATAGGCTCCCCCTGTTGTTTGGTCACATTTGTTCTGATTTTGTGTATTCATCATGTTGTCCTATGATTTTATAGTAAAATTTTTAAAGAAAAAAACGAAGACCATACAATTGAGATGAAACGCAAAAGCCCATATACGAGTCAATGACAAGTTACAATACTAACAAGGTGATATATCGACCATACAAGTTACAAAATGGTGACTTTAAACGGGGTTGTATGAATTTCTGTAACATCATTTTGTCTATCTGTACTCTATATTAACATCAAAAAAGCTTGCTCTTGGGTATCGGATGAGTTTTAAGACATGGATACCATACAGGTGATTTATTACTAGATGATAAAAGAAAGATGACAATGGTAAAGCTGGCGTAATATTGTTTGTCAATCAAGTTGTCGCCCGCATGTCGCAGGTGTTAGAGCGTTTGCTTTATAGAGTCGCAAAGTAAGAAGTAGAGCCTTACGTCGCTGGTTCTAATCCCACTGTGGGACGTGAGATCGTATAAACCGAGGTCACGTGTCGCAGTAGGTCCCACGAATAAGATCCCTCCCTGCTCAATGGCCCTTCATACAGAACATAGGATAAAGTTTGCAGCTCTCCACCGGCAAGTGCGGCGTCTCGATATGGGTGAAAAGATCTCGAGAGGAGCATTAAACAACATACATTTAATCGATTAAGTTTGTCGTTAGTTGACCACATATAATTGGTAGTTGGTTGTACATTAAGGATCTCAATATAGAGTGAAATTGTCAAACTTCGTGAGGTCTTTTATTTCAGGATATATTTTATCTGATTTAAAGTGATTTTATTTATTGATAAAACGTCGTTGATTTATCCGAATGTGGATTTGAAGGTCATAGCAAGACTTTTCATCTTCTCTCTTCGACGATGATTCAATTTATATAATGATTTTCTTTAACAAAGTGTTAAAACACTCTCTTTAAAACTAACTTAAATTTATAAAAAAAAAACGTCATTTGGTAATTTCTATCGTCGATACAATTAGCACAAGAAAACATTGATGTAACCATCAATTGTCGCCCGGGAAGTAAATAAAGTAAACAATGGAAATGAGTCTTAATCATCAAACCGCATCGATATATATGTGAAAAAGGCATGCGTCTAAATGATGGAGACGATAGTCAAGAATATTTTGAAAACTTTTAGTCGGATGAAAATCGAACAAAAACGATACCCTTTTAAACTTTATCAATTCCTCAAGTGAATGTTAACTGTTTAAAATATAAACTTAAACCAGAAAATACATCACCTATTTTCAGAAATGTATTTCACTTTAAGAATATAAAACATGAACTGTGTCAAGTACGTTTTTATGCGATAAGTAAAATTCGATGTTCTAAAAAAAGGGACGTGTCGTTTTTTCGATAGTAATTGATAAGCAACTTTATATATCAAATATGAAAAACATATATATTTTTACAGATTCACTTTATGGAAGCAAATATATTATGTATTTCGTAATTTATAAAGGGAAAGAACATTCTGATTGACAATCTTTTAATGTTCAGAAAACCTCTCGTTCTCAATAACTTCTCCCACCTCAATCCCCATACACCAACACTTAAACTTATATGTATAGAGCAGTCCGGTCCTCCGGGCTGCAATAACGTTGACACATTAATGGTCGACACGACTTGGTGCATAACGAGTTTTATACCCCCCCCCCGCTTGAAAAGCGGGAGGGTATAAGGTAATCGGTATGTCCGTCCGTCTGCACGTCCGTCCGTCTATTACGCTTCGGGGTACCCATTTCTAATCCATAACTCCTCTCATACCACTGATTGAAATTTGATGAAACTTTCAGAGAATCTTTATTACGTATTGCCGTTGTGCACCTCTTATTTCATTTTTTGTTCCGACACATATTTTGGGTTTCCCATAGCAAAACATGGACACTGCCATTATATTCATATGAAAGGCGAGGGTATCATTTAGTGAGCTCATTGCTCACAGTACCTCTAGTTTTTGTTTAAAGCGTCTAATTAATGGATTTGTTTTGCCAAGATTTGAGTCAGAAGAACGTATTTCACGTGGTTGTGTTGTTAGAAGTGCAAATGCTTGACGTCCTATCACGAAATCTGCCAGACCGAATTTCATTGATTAAAAAGTAGGATAGATATGTGTGATTATCGATACATACAGATACAGTTATGCAATGCCTCAGATGTCGAAAGCATATGTAAATACAGCATTATTATGTGAAAAATTAATGAAGACAATGGACAGTAATCAAGATTAATTTCCACTCAAACAATACAAATTAATAGGTGCAGAGTAAACACGGACCTTTAAATTATCAGGGTGGGATCAGATGTCATGGAAGACTGAGTATCACTTGCCCACCGGTAAAAATAATGCCACGAGAAATAAACCCTGCATACATAGTATGAAGTACGTCGACATAAGAAATAAAACTCTTCCTTCTTTATCACGCCTGATCCTAATTCTGATTGCTTGGAAGTACGTGTTTGCCCTCTTTCGAACTGTCTCTTCCAATGAACTTTGCGCTGATTGAGTCTAATTCTAAAGTCTAGATAAAAGGTTAAATAAATTTGTATCCAACAATAGGTCCTTTTTTCAAGGATTAAACTTTCGGAATATATGATTGTCATAACACCAATCATCTAAAAGATATCTCATAATCGATTTTTTTTCGGACAGCAAATAGATTGAAAGACTAGAAACGATCTCGTTGCTCGCAACGAGAGGTCTTCCGTCTGATTCTGAAATAAAAAACGAAAAATCCAGCCAAAAAGTAATAAAAAAAATACGGACACACGGGGGATCGAACCAGGGTCGACCGCGTGAAAATCGAACGCGCTTTTCGTTATTCCGAACGCGCTATCCATTACGCTAGTGAGGCCACTGCTCTAAATGTACTTGTATACATGT